CTCTTGCTCAGGCTGGTTTCGAACTCCTGACCTTGAGCAATCCTCCGACCTCGGCCTCCCAGAGTGCTGGGATGACAGGCGTGAGCCACCACGCCAAGCCAGGCTCTGTGTGTCTTAATTTATTTTCTGATGCTTATAACAGAATACCTACAACTGGGCAATTTAAAAGAAAAGGCATTTATTTCTTACAGAGGCTGAGGGGTCTGAGGTTGAGGGGAGGTGTCTGGCCGGGGCCTTCTTGCTGGGGGAGGCTCTGCAGGATCCTGGGGGCACGGGGCACCCAAGTGGGGGGCTGAGGTGCTGGCTCAGGTCTGTCTTCCTCACTGAAGCCACGGGTCCCCTCCCACGGTGACCCACGGAGCCATGAATCCAGGAAAGGGTTGACACATTCACGAGGGCAGAGGCCTTACAACCCAACCCCTTCTCTGAGTACTGCCGCTTTGGGGATTCAATGTCAGCCGGAGTTTGGGATAGGACAGACCCTCAGACGTAGCACCCTGTCACTTCAGAACTTCTAAGTGCACAGGGAGATGGCCCCATCACAGCTTCCCGAAAAGCCTCCCGGGAACGTTCCGGTGCTCTTCCACGCCACACTCCACTCTTGGTGTCCCGCTTGCATCGGACACCGCTCCACAGAGACTTCGTCAGCACCCTGAAGAGAGTCCCCTCTCGGGGACACTCCCAGCCCCTGAAACTTCATCCTCAAGAGCAATCTGTGGCCGGGCGCGGTGGCTCACGCCTGTCATCCTAGCACTCTGGGAGGCGGAGGCGGGAGGATCGCTCGAGGTCAGGAGTTCGAGACCAGCCTGAGCAAGAGCGAGACCCCGTCTCTACTAAAGACAGAAATAAATTAGCTGGATAACTAAAAATATATAGAAAAAATTAGCCGGGCGTGGTGGTGCATGCCTGTAATCCCAGCTTCTCGGGAGGAGGCTGAGGCAGGAGGATCGCTTGAGCCCAGGAGTTGGAGGTTGCTGTGAGAGAGGCTGACGCCACGGCACTCACTCTGCCTGGGCGACAGAGCGAGACTCTGTCTCAAAAAAAAAAAAAGCAATCTGTTGACTTTGCCAGAGAATCAACTCCAATATTAGCCTTTTCCTGGAGAAAGGAAATGCATCTTTTTTTTTTTTTTTTTTTTTAATGTGTGGAACTGCTTTCCAAGGTCCCGGAAGAGAAGCATGGAAGGAGAAATCTCTCAGCAGTCGAGCTAGTAACCGCTGGATTCCTCCAGTGAGTCCACCCTCCACGGCACCTTCTTGGTGCTAGGAGGCGCCGGGCTCCGGGCCTGTGTCTGTCCCCTGTGCACATGGTCTCCCGGGAGCCGGGCTCCGGGCCTGGGTCTGTCCCCTGTGCACACGGTCTCCCGGGAGCCGGGCTCCGGGCCTGGGTCGGTCCCCTGTGCACACGGTCTCCCGGGAGCCGGGCTCCGGGCCTGGGTCCGTCCCCTGTGCACACGGTCTCCCGGGAGCCGGGCTCCGGGCCTGGGTCCGTCCCCTGTGCACACGGTCTCCCGGGAGCCGGGCTCCAGGCCTGGGCTTGTTCCCTGTGCACACGGTCTCACGGGAGCCAGGGCCCCGGGGAGCTCGGTCGGCAAGAGTAGGACAGGAGCCGGGAGAGAGAGTGTCCCCAACCACAGCTCCGGCACCTGGACACCACCCAGCTGTGCAAGGCTTTTGCTGCACTGCCTGGAAGGTGACAGGTTCAAAGCTACCGTGTTTCCCCCAAAATAAGACAGGGTCTTATATTTATTTTTCCTCATGAAGACACCCTAGGGCTTATTTTCAGGGGATGTGTTATTTTTTAAGGACGGTACAACCATCTACATTGATTCAAATAGAGTGAAGTCGTCTTCTTCTGGAACATCATCCTCACTCTCCAAACCTCGAATTCCATCCTGAATGTCTTGCGACTCTGTTTCCTTTAGAACCACCGGCCCGGATCTCTCCTGTGGAGCACTAGAGCTCTCACGGGGCAGATGAGAAGGGCTGCTCGTGTTCTTTCCCACTCCGGGACGACACGCTTGGGTTGTGCAGATGCGCTGGGCAGCCACGCCCCTCACTAGGGCTGATTTTCGGGGTAGGGCTTCTATTGCGCACATGCTTAGAAATCCTGCTGGGACTTATTTTATGGGTAGGTCTGATTTTCGGGGAAAACGGTGGCTGTTCCCGCAAGGCAGTCTCTTTCATCCTTGGCTGCCCTTTCCCAATCTCTGCGTCTTTGTCTTCCTGAGGCTGTTGCTCCACCTACTATTCCTCTTTTATCCTCTTTCTCTCCATTTCTCCTCTTCCTTCTCACTCCTGCCACCCCTACTACTGAGTGAAGTGGCTGCAGACTTCCTGTAGAATCAAAGAATCTCTGTTGGGTTTTTTTTTTTTTTTCCCAAGAAAAATACATTTATTAGCAAGAATTATTGGTCAAATGTAGAAAACATTCTTCCTAATTAAAAAAATTAGATGAATAGACTGTGTAGTTCTTAAAACTTAATACAAAGTGGTTTTTGTCTTTAATTGACCTTAATAAAGAATTTTTTAAAACAGATGAAAATTACGATCACTTATATAGGGGAAAAAGTTTGTCACCTTTGGTATAAATGAATAATTTTAAACAAAGGAAGGAAAAAAGATCTTTGGCCTACTCATAACGTCTATAATGCTAGTTTCCATTTTTCCTTACTTGAGTTTTGTGTGCTTTCAAAGGCTTTCTTTAGGAGAGCCTGTGTTATTCTAAGGTTTTGCCAAATCACTGTATAGGGTCTTTGTTTATTTAAATCTGTGAGAGGTGACTGTCGGGAGTTTGCCAGCTAGCTCTTGTGTGCATAGCATGAGAGCTAGATTCATAGAGTCTCAGAACTGTGGGCTGCTTTACCTAAGGGGGACCCCTATATCCAAAGAATAAGTACATTAAAAATTCTAAAAACCACACACACGTGTAGACAACAGTTTTCATTAAGTGCCAAAGGCTTTTCTGAGTGCTTATTTTAGAAAATATTCATGTTTCACCCTCTCTCTGGTCCCAATGCATAGTGTCTCCCCAAGGTAATTTCTGATTCTTTTTGTCAGACACTCTTCCTTCTTTTTTCTTTTTTAAAAAATTTCTCCACAAAGATGCAATTATCTTGAGCCTTCCTAATTCATCCTCTGATATCTTTTTTTCAAAGTTAAGCTGAAGTGAGAAACAAACACTGCTCACGTATAAATAATGATGATGATTTGGGGCCACATGGACTTGTTTTATTTCTTAAAAAGCAATGCTAGCTCAGAATTTTATTTGACAGTTGGTATTTCAGGTCCTCATCACAAGTCCCTGTTAATACCACTACAGGCCAGGCGCGGTGGCTCACACTTGTCACCCTAGCACTCTGGGAGGCCAAGGCGGGCGGATCACTCGAGGTCAGGAGTTCCAAACCAGCTTGAGCAAGAGCGAGACCCCGTCTCTACTAAAAATAGAGAGAAATTCATTGGCCAACTAAAAATATATAGAAAAAATTAGCCGGGCATGGTGGCACATGCCTATAGTCCCAGCTACTCGGGAGGCTGAGGCAGGAGGATCGCTTGAGCTCAGGAGTCTGAGGTTGCTGTGAGCGAGGCTGACGCCACGGCACTCACTGTAGCCCGGGCAACAGAGAGAGACTCTGTCTCAAAAAATAAAATAAAATAAAATATGCAAAAATACAAAAAATAAAAAAAAAAGAGAGAGAAAGCTTTAGTGGAAAAGTTTCTTTTGTTGATTTATTTATCTGAGGAAACAGATTTGCATAACCAGCCAGTAGAGCAAATTCTCCAGACTGTCCCTGGGTTTTATTTAGCTTCGATCACGTCCCCAAATCTTAGAGAAAGATATGTGCGTATTCACTCAGCGTAGTGGAAAAGGAAAAGACGTCCTCTCCTCTGGGGTGGACGGACGGAGTTGTTTGGATGCGAAGGTCGGCTGCAGCAGTTCTCCCAACCAGGCTTGGCGCCGTGTGCTGTGATGACGTGCAGGAAATCATTTCATGAGCAAGAATTTGTGAAGAGAACTTGCGTCGTGAGGATGTAGAACTTTTTATGAATTAGAAGAATTTATAGTAGGTTGTTTTGAGTTATTTTGTGTTAGGGTAAATTCCTGCAAAATGTTAATATCAGTCTGTGCTTCTTCCCTCCCCTTTCTCCCCTTCATTCATTCTTCCTTTTTTTTTTTTTTTTTTTTTGAGACAGTCTCACTCTGTTGCCCAGGCTAGAGTGAGTGCCGTGGCCTCAGCCTCGCTCACAGCAACCTCAAACTCCTGGACTCAAGCGATCCTCCTGCCTTAGCCTCCCAAGTAGCTGGGACTACAGGCATGCACCACCATGCCCGGCTAATTTTTTCTATATATTTTTAGTTGGCCAATGAATTTCTTTCTATTTTTAGTAGAGACGGGGTCTTGCTCTTGCTCAGGCTGGTTTCGAACTCCTGACCTTGAGCGATCCACCCGCCTCGTCCTCCCAGAGTGCTAGGATGACAGGCCTGAGCCACCGCGCCCGGCCCTCCCTTTTTAGTTAAAGTGGAAATAACTTGACCCCCCACCCCCAGCCCAGCTTCTGTGCCCCTAGCCATGGTCATTCCCCAGTCTCCAAACCACTGTAGCAGCCGTGGTTTCACCAACTCCTGCAGGAAACAGTTCTGTTTGGTTTATGGGGAGGAAAATGATTACTGTGCAATTAGGTATGCTGGCTATTTAATACTTGCAAGCATATTGTTTGTTTGTAAGACCACATTTAGAAAACAACTTCACTGTCTACTTGTAATGATGTTCGGTCATTTGTTTTGGTAAATAGTGAAGGCTCCATCTCTCCTGCCATAGTTTTCAGGTGATAGTCTAGATTTAGAGAGTGAGCTAACAAGTTGCTGTTAGAGTTAATTTGTTCTCTAACCCATCCTGTGAATATCAATGCTAACAACAGTGTCTTGTGTTTTTTCTTTTCTTTTTTTTTTCCTTTAAATCAATGTGCTTTTTTTTTCTACGTGAATAATTATATGTCTAGAAACAGCCATGGAGTGATTTTGCTGTTCTGAATGGGGGAAAGATTAATAGTGACATTTGGAAGGCAAGTATATTGTCAGATTTTAGATCATTTAATCTCTTTTCCTTTCTGCATGGCTGTGGCTGTGTATTTTTCTTCTTTGTGGATATCATGCATCCTGCAGAGATGGGGTGACTGGGCTTCTTGCTAGGGGCGCCCAGCTCACACTCACGCGGCCTTTTTTCGGTGTGTCCCGTTGTGAACGGCTTCGGTCCGACCGCCCCAGGCTCCCTGTGGTCCTGCAAGGCCAGGCGCTTGCACCCAGCCAGCACCCAGCAGCCCCTGCATGCCTCCTCCCGCCTGAGCTCGCAGACACACTGCCTCTTGCCGGGAGGACTCTTCCCCTCTTTGACGCGTGAGGCGATGCGCTGGACCCTCCCCCTCCGGCGGTTGACGGGGCTCTGTTTTCCTCTAGGACTTGCACGCGGCCACGGTGAACCCGGATCCCAGTTTGAAAGAGTTCGAAGGAGCTACGCTACGCTACGCATCTTTGAAGCTCAGGTAGGGCGCGGGGCGGCCTTGTCGGAATGCCCGGCTCCGCGCAGCCAGAGTTTGCGACGGAACGCTGAGCCCGGTTTTCTGTTTTTCTTTCCAGAAATGCCCCGCATGCAGACGACGATGACTCTTATAGCACCAACAGCGATCCGGAAGCCAAGGTTTGTAGGAAACACGCCTGCAGCCACCGGGTTACGGTCTTGCACCCCAGCGAGGGCTTTGGACGACAGCCTCGTTTTTACAAACCATCAACCCGTCAGAGCCACTGAATAAGCAATCACCCCAATTCTCTCTCCTCCCTAATCTCTCTGACGCTTTAAGAAGATCCCTAGCCGACTTAGGGATTTCTGTGGCCGACACGACCCTGCCTGTGTCTCGCTGCCACTGCCCCTCGCACAAGGCAGCAGGTTACGGCTACTGCCCGAGCTGTGGGCGTCGGACGTCTTTGACCACGTGGGTCCGGCGCTCACGGGCCACGACCCCTCGCCCACAGCCGGCATTCGCGGTCCGCACGGTGGTCTGTGCTGTGCATGGACGGCGCGTCCGTCTCCCTCCTGTGCCACGAGGAGAGCTTGGAAGCACCGACAGATTGTTTCACTTTACAGGCAGCTTTCCTAGTCATGTAAATATCAGAATAGGAAACACAGACATGTATGTTTTCATGACATTATGTTAAGTGTTCACAGTTTGATTTTGATAAATGAACACTTAGAAAAGTCACATCGAGGCCGACGGCAGAACTCACCATGCATGTTAACCTGTGGCTGTCGACTAGAGTCTACGCTGGTCCCAGAGTGTTTAAAGATATGGCGGGACGTGTGTGCAGGGCAACTCTGACCCTAACCCCCAAACTTAACACTAACCTTAACCCCTAACCCTAACACTAACGCTAACCCCCAACCCTAACACTAACCTAAAACCCCAACCCTAACACTAACCCTAACCCCCAACCCTAAACCTGACCACTAACCCTAACCCTAACTGTTAACCCTAACCCTAAACCCCAACCCTAACCTTAACCCTAAGCCCCTACCCTAAACCTGACCCCTAACGCTGACCCCTAACCCTAACCTTTAACCCTAAGCCTAACCCCTAACCCTAACCCTAACCCCCACCTCTAACCCTAACTCCTAACGCCAACCCTAGCCCTAACTCTAACCCCCAACCCTAACCCTAACACCCAACTCTAACCCTGACCCCTAACCCTAACCCTTAACCCTAACCCTAATCCCCAACCCTAACCCTGACCCCTAACCCTAACCCTTAACCCTAACCCTAACCCTAACCCTTAACCCTAACCCTAACCCTAACCCGTGGAGCAGCCCACACCTGTGCCAGGTGAACCCTCCCCAGCCGTCCCACGCACAGGTGGAGGCACAGGTTTCACGGTGGAAGTGAGGGCGGACTTGCCTCCCTTCTGTGTCTGGGTCCCTGGCGGTGCTAGCAGGGAGGGCTGGCCGTGTGCTCGTGGCCGGCGCAGCTGCAGGGGTCCCCGAGGTGAGAGGACCTGTCTACGCAGGCTTTAAAGCTGTGCGGCTGCCATCTTGAAACTCTTGGAAACGTGACCTCCGAGCTTGTATTTCCTAAGTGGTGTCATGGGGTTGGGGGTGCGCGGAGGTGGGAGCTTGGGCTGGCACACATGCCCGCGCCTCCCCACCGCCCCGGGTGACTCTTGGCCGCCTGTCCCCACCCCCGGCTCGGTCGGGGGGGCCGGCAGACCCCCCACCCCTGCCCCAGCGGGGGCCTGGCATGGGGATGGGGCCGGGTGCACACGCCCCGTGGCGTCTTGGGTCGGGCCGTGGCCGTGGCCAGCCCAGCCCAGGCTGCTGGCCCTGCTCTGTGCTCAGCAGGCGCCTCAGTGGGGCGGGGGCTCTTGCCTCCCCCGGTCCAGACACCCAGCACGTCTGCACTGACGTTGCGACGTTTGCTGTGGGTTATAGGGAGGTGGGAAGATTCCTGGGAAGATTCGTGGCTCGGTTTCCCCACCCTGGCCAGTGCGTGGTGCGTCTGTCTGGGAGCAGAGGAGAGGGGGCCCTGGGGGTTGATGGTCCCTGTGTCTGCATGAGCCCCAGGACCTGTGAGGGTGCCGTCTGCTCTGCACGGGTCCCCGTGCCTGAGGGGCCCTGACGTTAGGGAGCAGTCGCAAAACACCGAGACGCGTCCAGAGAGAGAGTGCAGAAGAAGGGAAACAGCTTTATGTTTTACCGCGTTTTCCCCGAAAATGAGACAGGGTCTTATATTCATTTTTCCTCAAGAAGACACCCCAGGGCTTATTCTCAGGGATGTGTTATTTTTTTTAAGTACGGTACAACCATCTACACTGATTCAAATAGAGTGAAATCGTCTTCTTCTGGAACATCATCCTCACTCTCCAAACCCCGAATCCCATCCTGAATCTCTTGCGACTCTGTTTCCTTTAGAACCACTGGCCCCGATCTCTCCTGTGGAGCACTAGAGCTCTCACGGGGCGGATGAGAAGGGCTGCTCATGTTCTTTCCTGCTCCGCGACGACACGCACAGGTTGTGCAGATGGGCTGCGCAGCCACGCCCGTCACTAGGGCTGATTTTCATAGCCACGCCCATCACTAGGGCTGATTTTCATAGCCACGCCCACCACTAGGGCTGATTTTCATAGCCACGCCCACCACTAGGGCTGATTTTCGGGGTAGGGCTTCTATTGCGCACATGCTTAGACATCCTGCTAGGGATCATTTTATGAGTAGGTCTTATTTTCGGGGAAACACAGTAGTACTTTTTATAGTACTTTTTCCCTGCTTTTTGAATGGGGTCCCTACATTTTCATGCTACACATTTCAGTTACAAATGATGCCACTGATCCTTGGTACCGACTGCCAGGGAATGCCACCATGTCTACACCAACACCCTTCCTCACCCCCCTGTGCCATTGTGGGGGTGGGGAGAATCTTCCCAGATTCTTTTTTATTTGTTCTGTATACCAAAGCGGATCTGTTTTTCCAAAGAAAATAGCAAATAGGGTTCCTTAGTGGTAGTTAAGCGGGAAACACCATGCAGGCTCAAAACCTTGACTCCTTTGAGAATCTGTCTCACCGCCAGTCGGTTCTGTAAGAATCTCGGGGTTCAGAGCGGGGTGCGGGAGCACGCACCTGTCGGCCCAGCTACTCAGGAGGCCGAGGTGGGAGGACTGCTTGAGCCCAGGAGTTTGAGTCCAGCCTGGGTGCCAGAGTGAGACTCCATCTTTAAAAAAGAAAAAAGTATCTCAGGGTTTCCCGCGACATCTGCACTGCTTCTAACCAACTCAGCTCCACGCTGAGCACGGCCTGACAAGGCGATGCCCACTCTGCAGCCAGTGGCGGGTGTTGAACAAGTGCTGGGGCTGCTGCTGGCAGGCTGGCCCCGAGCCCATTCTCACCCGACCGTCTAAGAGAAAGTTCTCACTGGGAGCGTCATGGGCGGGGCGGGGGGTGGTCACCACCAAACGATGTGATCCGAGTCCTCAACAATATTCTTTTCTTTTTTCTTTTTTTTTTTCTTTGAGACAGAGTCTCACTCTGTAGCCCGGGCTAGAGTGAGTGCCATGGCATCAGCCTCGCTCACAGCAACCTCAAACTCCTGGGCTCAAGCGATCCTCCTGCCTCAGCCTCCCAAGTAGCTGGGACTACAGGTGTGCGCCACCATGCCCGGCTCAGTTTTGTATTTTTTGTAAGAGACGAGGTCTTGCTATGTTGCTCAGGCCTGTCTGATCTCCTGACTTCAAGTGATCTTCTCACTTTGCCTCCCAAAGTGCTAGGATTACAGGTGTGAGCAAAATATTTTGCACTTGATAGCAATATGTGTGTGTTTGTACCTAATTCTGAGTTGTCTATTTATTTTAACTTTTTATTTTGAAATAGCAGTAGATTTATAGAAAAGTTGTAAAGATTGTGTTTCCATATATCTTTCACCTCACTTTCTCTAATATTAACATCTTCGTGATCATGGCACATTGACCACAGCTAAGAGATTAATATTGACACCCTGTGATTAAGCATTTATTCACATTTTACCATTTTTTCCCCACTAATGTCTTTTTTCTGTTTCAGGACCCAGTCTAGGAGACTGTGGTCAGGTAGTGAGCTCTTTAAAACTTACTGCACATATTCTTTTCCATAATTCTCAGATTTATCATTTTTAATCTTATTACAATATTCCATTTAGCTAACAGCACCATAGTCTGTCTAGGCACCCGTAGTCAGAAAACGTTTCCATACTGCAGAGCAGAGCTTCAACCTCATAAAAATAGAGGATTTTGTTTTTAAATTATTGCTTTAGTATAGGTTCCTAAAACTGGTATACCAGGTCAAAGGCTGTCAGTTTTACGGCTTCTGACACTTATTGCAAAATTGCTTTCCAGAAAGCCTACAGCAGCCTGTAATCCCATCCGTGAGACCCTAGAAGATGCGTCTTTGGCCACATCCCAGTTTACTTCGTCATTTTTATTTATTTGTCTTAGTTTTTTTGCATGTGAGCCACTATGTCCTAGTTTTAAAATTTCCTGCTTAATAAATGCTTACAGAAACAAGAAAACTCTGTGAAAACTCTGTGTTTCTGTCCATTCTTAGCCATTTTTTTCTTCTTATTTTTTTCTAGGCATGTTTAAAACAAAATTTTTATTTTGGCGTAATTTTAGATTTATGGAAAAGTTGAAAAGGTAGTACGGAGTTCCCTTTTCTCCTTCGCCCAGCTTCCCCTAATGTAACGTCTTATACGGCCGTGGATTAACATGGGCGCAAAACTGTTCACTAAACACTTTGCTCTGATTTTACCAGTTTTTCTCCCAACGTCCCTTTTTCGTTCCAGGGTCTATTCCAGGACACCACGTTGCGGTTAGTCTCTGTGCACTTTTAAATTGGAAACTGTCTGCTGTTGGAATCTCAAATGCTTCTCTCCAATCACTTGTTTTTCTCCTTGTCTACTTCGTGTCGCGCGTCCACGTGGACAGGTTCTGGAAGCTTCCATATAGTCAGACCCTTTGTAGATGATGCCCCGATGCCTCCTGTGTCCGGAAGGCGGGTCTGGGGGGGCAGGCAGTGGCCTCCTTCCCCGTGTCTCCTCTGTGCTCACCCTGCCCAAGCAGCTTCTTTAGGATCAAATTTAGCCCCTTTCCCACGGCACGTTGCTGACTAAATGCCTAACATTAAAA